TGTGATTCAAGAGAAAGACATGCTAAGGTCCGTCAAAGCGAGGATGCCTGTGGACACCATACTGCTGCATTTCCAACCTCAGGGCAGAATGCCCAAGGGAAGCTGCCCCAGTTGCCACTCTCGCCTCTGTGCCTGTTTACAGAAGCTCATTCACCTGACCACATTCCTGTTGATGTCCACTGGCTGGCTCACAGGAGGACCTCTTTAGATGCCCGGTCTCTGGTGAGCCCCATTTTCTTAGGACACACTCATGACCTGGCTTCTCTGACTTTTCCAGAAGAAGCTCTTAAAACTATTTTAAAAATTTACCCCAATCCCAGACTGTGACTCAAAAACTCTATTCAGCCTGTTTTCTCCAGGAAATATCATTTCGTTACAATGCTAGGTTTGAACTTATTTCTGAAGGTTACTGAATGTAAGTGATAGAACTCCAAAGAAAAGCAGGGACTCAGTTAACACAGATGTCAGTATGGGAGTTCCTCTGGGAAGCAATAGGGGATGTGACAGCTCAGAGGTTCAGAATATGACAGTAACATTCCACTTTGTTAAGAAGTCGTGGTGTGAACATGAGTGTTTGTTTGATTATTGTTGTTTAACTTGTACATATAAATTTTATATATTCTTATGGTTTGTGAGACATTTAAACTTTTTTAAAGGATGAACAGGTAGAGTTTATCTCAGTAATACCTTTTAATATCAAAAAATCAAATGCTGCCACCAAGTGAGGATGATAAGGAAGCCACTATATTTGCTAAGTGGGAGCCACATCCTTAAAGACAGTTTGTTGGCCTGGGGGACCAGCAGGCAATGGGTTCAAAATAAGTTAGTAGATGTGGTAAATTCTATTATTGCTCCGATATCTACCCCCAATCTATGTGAGAGGATGATACTTCCCACTCTATTAATGTCAAGTTTGGTACTACAGCACAAGTGCAAGTGACATGTGTCAGTTCTGAGTGGAATCTTCAAAGAATTCCATGGTTCTGCTGTCCATGAGGCCAACATACCCCAGACAGGGACAACTCCTCGAGTCTAGGTCCCAGAATGACAGGTGACCAACAACAGATAATAATGAGAATAAGAAATAAACCTTTGTTGTTAGAAGCTGAGTTGCCTGGGGTTGTTTGTTAGACTCAGCTATACTACTCTTCAGAAAACTTTCAGTAGGAAAGGAGAAAACAGAAGATTTGGTTACTTTATATAAGGCCTAGGGATGTTGAGTGACAGAGATGAATATTAAAGAGAGAACAAAAAATACAAATTAGGAAGGAGAATGACAGACATGTTAGGTGCCAAGGGCAATGGAAAAGGACACACCGTTTAAGGAGACAGGGTAGAGCCTGAGCCTCAGCGATGAGGTTACAATGCCATGTCAGAGACTGGACCAAAGGAAGAGAATTGGTGGGAAATAGAAGTGAAAGGAGGAAATCTGAGCAAGCATGAGAAACATAGTCCCAAAGTTTTGGAGAAAGATATTGGTGAGTATAGGTGCTAAGAGTAAGATGTAGACAAAGAATAAATAAAGCTCTTAAGAATGAGGTTAGTTATAGTAGCATTTTTCACAGAACTAAAAAAAATACTTTTAAAATTTGTGTGGAAATACAAAAGATCCAAAACAAAAAAAGCAATTTTGAGAAAGAACAAAGCTGGAGGTATCATGATTCCTGGCTTCAAACTATACTACAAAACTATAGTAATCAACACAGTATGGTATTAACATAAAAACAGAAATACAGATCAATGGAACAGAATAGAGAGCCCAGAAACAAATCTGCATGAATATAAAGAATTAATTTATAACAAATGAGCTAAGAATATATAATGGGCAAAGGACAATCTCTTCAGTAAATGGTGCTGGGAAAACTGGATGGCCACATGCAAAAGATACTAGACTACTGTCTCACATCATATACAAAATTAATTTAAGATGGATTAAGGACTTAATGTAAGACCTGAAATCACAAAATTCCTAGGAAAAAACACATAGGTGGTAAGGTCCGTGATAAGTTCCTTGTCTTAATAACTTTTTTAGATATGACTCCAAAGGCAAGAGAAGCAAAAGCAAAAATAAACAAATTGGGTTATATCAAACTAAAAAGCTTTTGTACAGCAAGGGAAACCATCAACAAAACTAAAGGGAACCTATTGAATGGGAGAAGATATTTGCAAATCATTTATCTGATAAAAGCTTAATATCTGAAATATATAGTTCACACAACCCACCAACATAAAAACAAATGACCCAATTATAAAATGGGCAGAGTATTTAAACAGACATTTTCCCAAGAAGACTATAAACAGCCAAGAAGACTATAATAGGCACAAGAGAAGATGTTCAACATCACTAATTATCAGGGAAATACAAATCAAAACCACATTGAAACATCAACTCACATCTGTTAAACATCACATAACAAGTGTTGGAAACAACGTGAAAAGAAGAAAATCCTCATACACTCTTGGTGAGAATGTAAACTGTTGTGGCCACTATAAAAAACTGTATGGAGATTCCTCAAAAAGTTAAGATTAGAACTATCATATGACCCAGCTAATCAACTTCTGGATATTTATCTGAAGAATAGAAAAACACTAGTTCAAAAGGAGATATGCACCTCTAAGTTCATTGCAGCATGATTTATAATAGTTAAGACAACCATCTAAGTGCCCACCAATGGATGAATGATTAAAGAAGATTTGATACACACACACACACACACACACACACACACACACACACACACACACACTGGAATAGTACTCAGCCATAAAAAAGAAGGAAAATTGCCATTTGCAACAACATGGATAGACCTTGAAAAAAGTTAGACAGAGAAAGATAAATATAGTATTATTCATTTATATGTGGACTCTAAAAAGAACTGAATAAATAAAACAAAAACAAATTTATAGATACAGAAAACAGATTGGTGGTTACTAAAAGGGATGAATCTTGGGGAGAAGGTGAAATGGTTGAAGGGAATCAATTGTATGGTGATGGATGATAACTAAACTTATAGTAGTGAACACTATGCAATGTATACAAATATCAAATTATAATGTACTCCTGAAATATAATATATATGATGTTGTATACCAATTTTACCACCATAATAATTTAAAAAACAAGAGTGAGGTTGGTTTTTAAGAGACAGCATGTAGTCTATGTGCATGTTGGTACTATATTCCCTGATTCTCATTCAGTGAAATGTTGACCTAGCTACCTGCAAATCACAAAAGTTACATATAATTACAATTAGTTGTATATCTACACAATAAAAATTAAGAGATATTTTGCCTTCATACTAGCCTGTACATATATAAAGTCTAACTGGTCTTAAGACTATTCATCAGTATTTTGAGGAAATGAGTACAAAAAAGTACAATATTTTTTAAGAACATTGAAATAAATTCTTTTCTAAATGTTATAAAATAATTTGCCAACAATCACTAAAAGTGATTACTAAAAGCTTACTAAAAGTTACTTTATATAGTATATTGTTTTTTAAGTTTAAATTTCAGAATTTTTGCAAATTAAATGTTAAGATATTTCTGATGTGTGATTGAATGAGCAAATTAAAAGAAATAAATAAGTAATAAATTAAATATCCAAAATAATAAATAATATGGAAATGGGTATAGTACAAACTAAATTTGATCTCAAGATTCACTGGATTTTTTTTATCAATTGTGCAATTAGTTTCTGAACTGCACTTCTCAAATATTTGATTGCAGATTCATTCAAGCTTACAATCTACACTAATAGAAGACAAACATGCAAATTGACCATACCTTCACTACATCTTAAGCCACACCCACCAGCCAATCAGAGCGACTATATGCAAATTAACCCAACCAAGATGGCGGCCGGCAGCCATGGAGCTGGAGCAAGCAGGAGGCTTGGTTGCCCCAATGATGGAGGAAGTCAAGCTTCCCGCTTGCCGCGGCAGGCTCTGAGCTCCACTCAAAGCAATAAATTTTCAATTATAGAAGGTAAATAAACCCCAGATACCTGCTTTCAGCAAGCGTGGCCAAGGAGCTGGAGCAAGCAGGAGGCTTCCCTCCTGCATGCCCTGGCCAGCTCTGAGCTCCTCTCAAGGCTACAAAGTTTCAATTATAGAAGGTAAATAAATCCCAGAATAAAAAAAGAAAAAGAAAAAAAGAAGAGGCTGGGAGCTTCCGTCACTGGGGGGCTAGGCAAGCCTGAAAACGGCCCTCAGCCCCTCACCCAGGCTGGCCAGGCACCCCAGTGGGGACCCCCACCCTGAAGGGGGTGTGACCAGCCTGCAAACAGCCATCAGCTCCTCACCCAGGCTAGCCAGGCACCCAAGCGGGACCCCCACCCTTGTCCAGGACACCTTCAGGGCAAACCAGCCAGACCCCACCCATGCACCAGGCCTCTATCCTATATAATAAAAGGGTAATATGCAAACTGACCCTAAAAGCAGAACGACTGGGAATGACTGGTTACTGTGATACACACTGACCACCAGGGGGCAGACACTCAATGCAGGAGCTGCCCCCTGGTGGTCAGTGCTCTCCCACAGGGGGAGCTCTGCTCAGCCACAAGCCAGACTGACGGCTGCCAGTACAGCGGTGGTGGTGGGAGTCTCTCTTGCCTCCTCAGCAGCGCTAAGGATGTCCGACTGCAGCTAGGTCTGCTCCCCGCTGGCAAGTGGACATCCCCCGAGGGCTGCCAGGCTGCCAGAGGGATGTCTGACTGCCAGCTTGGGCCCAATCCCCCAGGGAGTGGGCCTAAGCCAGCAGGTGGACATCCTCTGAGGGGTCCCAGACTGCAAGAGGGCATAGGCCGGGCTGAGGGACCCCCCAAGTAAACAAATTTTTGTGCACCGGGCCTCTAGTTACATTAATAAAAGTATTATATTTCTTTATTCAAGGCATTTAGCCTTTGATTTTCTTAAATTCTTTTACTGCAAATCTAGAAATTTAACAATGCAATGTACTCTCTGCTAAATTAATAAACAAAAACTTGATTCCATAATCACCCTGGTAAAGATTGGTTCTAAGCCATTTGGAGCAGTGCTTGACCGAAATCTTCTCCTTCTCCATGTTTCAGATCTACTTTCCCTTGTGATTTTTCCATTCGGGGAAGGAGGTGGAGGAGGAACAGGCATCATGTAACTGTTAATGTTCAGAGGTTGACACTGTTTCATTCCCTGTGAATTGTCCATGGAGTTCCTGAGCTTCATCATTGCCTTCTTGCCCTGTAATCACATTCCATGACATAAGAACCAGTGAAAGAGAATTAAGTGGTGATTCAGTATCACCCAGAATTAGAGACAAGACTGTATGATTGACATTGCAATGCAACACAACTGATATAAATAGGCAAACTCAAAACAATCCATTCTGTTTGAAGCATCCATAGCAAATTAAATTTTTATGAATTTCTAACATTATTTAAGTGTATTTTTAAATCAAATATACAATGACGGCATCTTTAGAGTACTTTGTGGATTTTTCCTCAACAATCCATTAAATCTAAGTATAATTAAACAATTTGGAATCAAGAAGTTTAAAGTGTTTACTTTGAAGCATGGTTGAAGAGTCTACTTAACAATGGGGTCTTAGCACTTTCTTCATATTCATTTCACCCATTCAGGTGTTATAGTAGTCCTTGACAATACAATTTCAAGGTACCAAGTACAGAGGCTAACCCAAAGGCTCTATTCAGCTTATTTTCCCCTAGAAACTCAACTCGTAAGAATAAATGCTACCGAAGACAACTACACAAGTACACTGGTGGAAATGTAAGGATACATACACACATACAAGTACACATTATGTATAACAAACTTAGTTGAACATCAAGTCCATCAATAGGAGAATGTTCAACTAAATTTTTCTTTGTTCTTAGAGTCGCAGCAGGCTTCAAAAAGAAGTGTGTGAATCTATTCATGAAAAGATCTATGTGGTATAATCATACATTTCTTTTAAATAATTTATATATAGATTTTGATAAAATTAGGGATATCTAGAAGAATTGAACATAAGGTTTTCATGGAGATTGGGATATTTGGGGAGGATATTATTTTTTATTTTATATATGTATCTTTATATTATTTGAAAGTTTGATCAACATGTATTACCTCAACAATTATAAAGCACCAAAGTTATTATCAATAATTATGTCACTTTGTTCAGGTATATTTGAGTCTTTAGATTTTCAAAAATTGATTATTTTTGTGTCTATGAAGTAGTTTTTCAAACTTTCAGTCACCTTTAATCATTTTTATCTACTCTATACTAATTTATTTGGTATGGTTTTAAAATCATTTTCAGTCAATTTATTCTTAATTTTGAGATGCTTAAATAGTGAAAAGTTATTTTTAAGAAAGGAAAATCATTCTCCAAACATTTCTCATTACAAATTAATAAAATCAGGTCAAATAAAGATGTATGCCATACATATTTTGATTGAAGACAACATTTATGTGAACAGAGAGGGATTTAAATAGAATTAACCAAGAAGTTTAGAATTGTTAGAATGGTTCATACTGCAGGTTGTATATTCTCATTTTACTTTTCCTACATTTTTCCTTTTTCTGTGATGGTGTGCATAGATATTGTAATAACAGTTATAAATGAAATAAGTGAAAATAATAACAATAAAATGTATGAATAGAAAACTCTCAGAGGTTGAGGAATTTTTAATTTCTAAGTCAACTACATGTCTTATTTGGAAATGGTCTGATAATTTTTAAAAAATTATCATGCTGTTTCTTACCTCACATATTTAGCCCAAAACATCTTGAACATCTTTTCATGACAGTACAAAAATTCTACCTTTTTATTTTAAACATACTTTAATATGTTATAACATTTTAAAACAATACCCTATTATATTTGTAGATATTTGATAATTGTTCACTATTATATTACTAAATATTCTTGAATTTATTCCTTTTCACATATGTGTTTATTCCTGGGGAAAATGCCTATATGTTAAAATGCTTGAGTATGTTCATTTAAAATGCTGACAGATATTTCCATATTGCTTTCACAAGAGTTGTACCAATTTCTATTTCTATCAATAGTCCATGAGAAACTCTCATTCTAAGGATAATCATTTTCAATCAAGTCATTATTTTTACTCAATTGGATTTCAACCAGCTTGTTTTTTACCAAATTGCTTTTGCCTAAATCAAAAACCCTTACTCCTGACATTTAGAAAGATCAACCTGCTTATGTCTGTCGCACCTTTGAACAGTTCCCATATGCATACCACATCCTTCGGTAATCTTTAAGAAAGCAATACAAATTTAGTATTGTATTAAATCACTACATACTCATCAATCATGCAGACTGCTATTCTTTAGGAATGTCTTGTCTGATTTTATATTAAATCATTTTTATCATCAATGCCACTGAAAAAAATTAGATGTATTTTCTTTTGCCTATGTACATTGTAATATAAACTCTAGTAAGTTAGAGACTTTTGCCTGCCTTGATAATTGATATACCACCAATGCTTAGAGCAGTAAGTAGCCAATAAATATTTATTGAATGAAAAGCGTTAGTTAGCTAGTTTAAATTAATATGAGATTGATCTCAATTTTGTCAGCCATGTAAGTTACTATTAAATGCCTGTCCCTCAATCACTCACATCCCCCACCTTGAAAACAGGAAAATAAAAGTCCTTATGCAAATTTAATTACTAGATCTATACAGTGGTTAAGAGCAGGTATGGAAAACCACCTGAAAGAAAAACAAATTCCTCTCTAGCCAACAGAACTTGAATATTACCTGATTGATATTATTCACATATCTTACAGGAAAATGTGCCTATCAAAGTAGTATAGTAAAATAATACTTATAGGAGCATAGAAAAGAATATAATCACCTTGGAAAACATGGAAAGTGCGCATCCAAGTACTATCTAGGGTAGAGGATGTATCACCCATTGGACTTTGAATATTTCTAGTCCTATTGGCAAAGTTATTCTTGGAGCATACAGGGGGTTTTAGCCAAAGACCTTTGAGTTTCCTGGAACCTTTGGCATCCCGTTCCTAAAATGAGCTAGGTGCATCATGCCGTCTTAGCCTAATGCAGTAACATTCCATTCCACATCTGCTCATTCTGACACCATGCTCACCAGGCAACCGTCTCATTGTGACACGGCTTCCCATGTAGGTCTGCCTACAGGGGGAGGCACGCTGCTTCTACAAACTGTGATTATTTGATATCTTGTGTATTAATGGTCCCTGATTATGATTTTGCTCCTCACTCCAGTTTACTGTAGGGAGAAAAATTAGGTCGTTGCGAGTTATTTCAGTTAGCCGAGACACCTCTCAGGACCTGACCATTCCTGAACACTAGCTGAAACAGGAAATGTCTGGGTCTCTAAGTAGAGACCAGATTCTAGAAAGCATCAACCTAATTGACTTATGACCCAATAAATTCCTGCCTAGCTCTATGAAGTCTTCCCTAGAAAATGTGCCACCACTTTGGCTTAATTTCCCCTGCCGTTTTCTGATAAACTACTATTATAATGAGGCTTGTAAAAAGTGCTATGTAAGCTGAAAACCATAGTAAATGGGTTAAATATTAGTTATCATTTTTAGAATTATATTTATACTCTTACTGTGAAACAATCATTTGTATGAATTAATTCCTTCGTGTCAAGATGGTCTTTGTCAGTGTTAGATAAAAATACCTTAATTTCATGTATCTTATGTTTCCTAAAAGAGGAATGAAACTAAATTCACCCATTTGAACATAATGACTGTTGTATTATGACACAGGTTCTTAAGCTGCCAATGTTTCTCCTTTGTGTTAGAAATACAAATAATACCCTCCCATCCCACCCCCCCCAAAAAAAATACCCTCCCTAATTACTGAATGTCTTAGTTATATCTCCCTGTTTAAGGAACTCATATTTTATGGTTACTATGCTTCCTTCTGTGCTCTATTAAAATAACTGAAATTACCTGAGTCATACATAACCTTGAAAGGGAAGCAGAGTCACTGTGTGTGATTAATTCAGCATTTTTAAAAAGATGGACATTCTTTTCCTTCTATACCCAACGTTCTCCAGAGTCAAACTGGAAGCAATTTCATACACTGATGGTAAAGTAAGTCAGCATGCAAATGCAAACCTATTCTTGGAAAGTTTCATTTTCTAGGTCTCATGCATTTAAAATGTAAAAGCCGTCAACACTGGGTTTATGCTCATAGAAGTCATATCTGGCTATAAAAAGTTCCTCTTTGTTTCTCATACAACCCTTCGAACTAGTGAGAGATCACTTTACATTATTACATCTATTCCTTACTCTTTTTGCTCACTAACATGGAAATTATAGGCCTTCCCACTTGAGTAAGATAATTAAATAGAACATCATAATAAGTGCTTAATAAGTGCACAATACAAATGTCATTGAGTAGATTAATTAAATCTAGCATCTTAACTACTGTGATAATCTAATATTCTAATCAAGAATAAAAAGATATTCCTTGATGGAATAACATTTACCCCAATGGGAAATGGAGCTTCATTTTCCGGCGGTGAGGTTTTGGATCTGGACCCGGGAGTTACCTTTGGAACAGTTCCTGCTGCAGGATGACTGGGAAGAGGCTGTAATCGAATTGGAGGCTGCATCATTCCTGGGGCAGTGTGTGGTCGAGGGGCTGTCTAGACAATTAGGAAAAAAAATCCATTTAAATTAGTACCTTGACTTGTTTCCAGAACCAATTAATAACCCAACAAATTGACTAGAGTAATTAATGGTGCCTTTTTACGGAACAGATTAAACTTTAATTATGTCCTTCCATTATACATGCCCTTATGACCTGAAGTATTTATTAAAACATATGGCGCGGAAGTTCTCCACATAACTAAATGCCACAATTACAGAGGATTCTAGACAGAGGAGATGTTCTCTGTCAGGTTCCTGTATTTTATTCATACTGTAAACTCGCTGACAGTACCTAATTTATGCTGTGCATAGATTAGCTTTGCTCAATTAAATGTTAAGTTGAATAATGTTCCTATTTTAGAGATCTAAAGGAATATGATTGGAATGGACTCATTTCTATTTAAATGTTTGCAACATGAATTCTACTGTGAGTCCTCTAAGTCTTAAGATTAGTGCTGAAGTACAAGCAATAGGATTCAAAACAGAGGAAAGGTAAATGCGTAACTGTAATGCATGATTATTTAGTCAACCTCTTCCTTGCAATATTAGGAAAACAAAAGTGAAAAATAGTAACTGGCAACTTTGGAAAACATTGTGAAAAAACAGATTTTTTGCAGGCTGGGAGTTTTCCATTTGCCCCTCTTCTATGCCTTCTCTCTCCTGCTCCAGCCTCTGAGAGTCTTTCTTTATGGACTATATACCAACTGACCTCAGGTTCCAGTTAGATTTGGCCAATCAAAGGCACTGGCAGGAGATCAAAAGATAGGCGGAAATGAGATGGGTTATTTACTTCTTCTGGACTTTCACACCAAGGTTGTGATGCGCCAGCTAGGGCCCTCCACCAAGTCCACGGCTCTAGCAGGAAGTCCTCTCCCAGCTCACAAGTAGGAGAGGTTCTCTGTCCAAACCCTCCCTTCCCCCATGGGCCAAGGTGGTGTGCTTCCCCATGGGGCTGACCCCAGCAGGCTAAACATCCCTAGTTGTTTTTCCTTACCCTGTCTGCCTCTTTGTAAATAGTTTCTTTATTAAACCCTTCCTAATTACCCTATCTGTGTGAGCCATCTGTTTCCTGCTGAGACCCTGACTGATATACTTTCTAATCAAGAATATACTGCGGAGAGAACCAAACATGCCAGTATGGAACATGAGTGCTGTCTTTTTTGGCACTGACAGAACATTATGAGTTTAGTATAAAGAGCAGCAATGTTTCAAAAGTGAGGAAAAAACAAGGCTTTTGGCCCAGTTGTTCTAATATAATAAAATAAGAAAAAAAAACCTGTTAAGAATAATACATGCATATTTGGACCAGCGGGTGTGAGGATAGTATGCAAATGACTCATAAGGAGGTTTAATACATTGATTCTAAAGAATGGTGAACAAAATATTCAACTATATAAAAGTGTAAATACATTTTAAAAAAATGATAGGGCAGCTTCTACCACCAAAAGTTGGACTCCATGCCATCCTGACAAGCATGTCATATGTGATAAATATCTGATTTTATTAAGTCAATATTTTTTGAATTCCAATTATAGGCACTATGAAGAGATTAAAAAGTAATTTTTAACATCTAAGAGTGACACAAGACAATTAGTGCCAAATGACCCACACAAATACTACCAAAGGGACAATACAACAAGCATACCTGGGAACTCACAGCAGTTAGAACTAAAGTTATCTGGAATAAGGCAATGAGATGAAAAATTAAAGTTTCCAGACGCAGTTATCTTTTATTCAAATGGATGAGCAACAGAAAGAAATGGAGGAGAAAAGCAAAGGACTGGTAAATTTGAACATCTGAGTAAGAAGAGAGCCAGTTGTAAGCCAGACATGGGAAGAGGACAAAGATAATAGTCCCCAATATCTGTTTTCCTTTCTTCACAAGTAATAGAATTTTCATCAGGAAGCACGGCTATTACAAATAAAGAGTACATTTTCTAGCATCTCGCGTAATTCTGTATAGATATATGCTCAGTTTTGAGTAATAAGATGTGAGCAGAAGTGATACATAAAACTTCCAGATCATGAGCTTAGAGAGGCTGTTGCTGACTTGATAGAGTAGAGATGGCGCACCAGCTGAGATCCATGCATGCGCACTGTCTACACACAAGCCTGTATCCTGACCGAGACAGAAAACCCAGTGAACTGACAAGAACAGCATTTGATTTCATGAAACAGAACATAAGCCTATTTGAGTCCAAAAGTGGAAGGTCGTAACACCCACACACAAAAAAATCAAGCCAGAGGTTTCTAAACAAGGGAATCAGATCACCCAAAAGAATTCCTTTGAACTCGGTGAGACAAATATGCCTTAAGACTCCTGTCATATAATCCAACTGAACACAAAAACACTGAAAATTAAATGTAGGAATTCAAAAAAAACAGGTTCCTATAAACTAGGACATGATCAATGGGCTGTTGTGCTCTAAATTTTACTTCTCCACATTTGCATACAGATATCATTCAGTTAGATGAGTGTGGCAGTCAAATGTTTAACTGATTACATTTATCTCTAAAAACAAATCTGCACCATTCAACCAACAGCTGTGAGCTACAAACTGTTGTAGTTCACATCAAAAGCCACGTTAAATTGGCTATATTTTAAATTGTTCATAATATATTTTCTTGGAATAAACATGGCACTGTAGCTTAACATTTTCAAATCTGCACCGGAATGTGAATCGAAATTGACTACCTGGTGATTATTCAGCTTAGCTGAGCATTTCTAATTCTTAGTGGAAGATCTCTGGGGGTGCATTTTCCAAGCCTGTGCAGAATTAGTTGAATGACTATCCAGAGTTTTAATGGGAGCAATACAGCTAAGAGCTTATATGTTATTTTGAAAGTTTAGGTGCAATTAGTGACCAAATGCAATAACTACTCACTGAATGCTTTCCTTATTCGCTCAAGAAAGTGAAAAGAGAAAAATCGATGGCAGTATCCCCAAAGGATTTTTTTTCTTCGTCTCAATGGCACGTGGAGGTCAGGAGTCAAATTTAAAGGATATGTATCCAGGTTGGGAAAACAAAGAGGAGGACTTGAATTTCTGTCGGATGGAAACTACAATGCCAAGATTACAATGGTATCCCTTACAGTGCAGACTCGCCACAGGGGGTGACCAAGTGAAGAATTGTGGCTTACCAGAGAGAAAGGCTTCTGAAGTGCTGGTGTCAGTGTTTCCTGTAATTTTTAAATTACTTTCTCATTCCTGCCACATTAAGATCTCCTGGATGTATCATAAACTACTTATTGAGGGTGTTCAGCTGGAAAATTGAAAAGAAAGCCTTTCAAGGGTTTTTCCACTCGGAAACAGGTGGGAAGATAGAAAACAGCACTTGATGGTTTCTTTTGTTTCACCCAGTTTAAGCTTTTGAGAGTCTAGTGAGTTTGCCACCTAATAAAAGAATTATTTGTGTACATATGCATTTAAATGAAGCTTGGAAATATGGTAGCAACAAAGGGAAGACTGCTTTTCATAACTTGAGCTGTTCACCTGGAAATGTCAAAACATATTTACCTTCTGAAAAATGTCAAAGCTTAACACTATATGTGATGAACGATGAACGTGCTTTAGCAATCTGTGAAAGCACTGCAATTTCTCCATAAACATTGTGCAATCCAAAAAAATGTTCATGCTAACAAGGAAATATATTAGGCTACACAAAGCAAGAATAAAGACATAATCAAGCAATTCATTTACAGCTTAACCCATCAACCTCCAGCAAATATTTTGCAAATCTTTTCCTGTATCTATATTGTTTCAAGCTACCTTACCTTCCTTCAAGCAAACACCACCTCTACTGTATAAATGAATCAAAGTAGAAGAAAGGTCAGTGTGCAATTTCTTTAAATAGAATTACTGCACATTTAATTATTTTTATCTTAGAGCATGGGCACATAGTTTTGATAAATGAAGTACAAATATAAGTATCTGGCCCCAAATGCTATAGAGTACCATTGAATTTGTGTGCATAAGTAAGCACTACAAGTAAGATGAGAGTAGAGGGAACAGCAAGAACAAAATGCAGAGGTCAGAAAATATAGCACAAATATGGAACAACTAGTGGTTCAATTTTGCTGCATTGCAGGGCGCTAAAGGGTAATTGTGGGGATAGCTAAATTGAGGTCAGATGGTTCAGGGTCTTAAATGTCAAGTGAAAGAGTCTGTGGTTTTCTATAGGTGACACAAAGCAAGTGAAGGTATTTGGGCATGTAAATAACATAAGTAATCTCTTCCTAAAGCAAATTGACCTAGCAGTAACAGGCAAAATGAATTCGGCAGGGGTGATGTTGATTTGAGGTGGGGCATTCAGTAGAGACAGAGTTGAATAGATAGAAAACTATGCTTTCATTCAGTAGAAGTCTCAGGCTTATACAGACATCTACCCAGAGAGCATTCTTTCTGAGAATAGTAAGAAATTATAAATGGATTTGGGATGGTACATGGCAGAGAGTTTAATATAACTCACCACTGTTATTGGACTGGAATGTCCTTCATCAACCAGAACACTATGGCCACGGTTAGTCTTTGGGCCCACTGGGGGGTGGGGAGACAGCACTGGCATGTTTTTTTCTATAGACCATCTTGTGGGCGCTCCCTAAAATAAGAAAGTAATTTAACAAATCGATGCATAGTTAGAAAACTAGTTTAGGTTAGTGCCTATCAGATAAAAAAATACTGTATGACTAGAGAAGTCCATGGTCATTACTTTCAAAATGTTCCTTCTGAGGTCTATCAGGATAGGCAAAAAAAGTTTCCACACTGTACTGGGGAGGTGGTGTGTAGTGATAGGCAGGAAACTGAGTCTGCTTTATTCAAAGAAATAGCTACAAGAGCAGTGTATCCTCAGTTTTAGCAAAAGCATTCATTAATCTGCAGATGACTACAAGAAGCATAATGCTCCTCACTACTCTGATCAGTAGTAGAGAATACCAGAAAGTATTACTTTTCTACCTTAACGATTTATTAAATAGACAGGCGAGCATGGTTCAGCGATTGGGCATCAACCTATGAACTACGAGCTCATGGTTCGATTCCCAGTCAGGGTACATGTCTGGATTGTGGGCTCCATCCCCAGTGTGGGGCATGCAGGAGGCAGCCAATCAATGATTCTCTCTCACCATTGATGTTTCTACCTCTCTCTCCCTCCCCGTTCCTCTCTGAAATCAATAAAAATATATATTTTTAAATTATTAAATAATGCCCTAAGAAAAGGTTGTTTCCATGTTACATAAAAGAAGCCAAAACATACTAGTAGGTCTTTCACTAAGTGCCGCAATAAAGTGAAAATTGTTACAAGTGCAAATCATACAAGGAGGCACTGGAGTGTCTATCACAAACCTTCCAAAGCTGTAACCTGCCCATCTGTCTTGTTAGTGTGCCTGGCACACTGGGTGAGAGTGGATCTCACACCTCTTCAGGCAGCACTAGTCACTCTTTATTTCCAGTAGCCATTTTTCTCCAACAACAGTTCAGCAGTGAATTATAGAATCTATAACTCAGTCCTTGATGTAGGACAATATTGGCAAAGTTGAATTAACCACAAATCTCTACACACTAACTCTTCTGATCTTGAAAAACTGGCCCATCTTCTGTTATTTAACAACAATTTTGTAACAAGATTATCTTTTGACCATGATAAAATAGAAAGATTTGAGTCTATCAGGCAAGAGGGAAACATTACTATCTTATCTGGCAAGTCATTCTACAGAAGCTTTACAAATATTCATCAGTTTGTGAAATGTCTTAGGCCTCACATTTGTAATACGACACGGAAAATGAAGGACAACATGTAAGTTTGAATGGCTCAAGAAATTGAGTAAAACTGCCAACCTACATTGAAACCTTTCAAACATGCCTAATTGAATCTCTGGTCTCTTGATTCAAATTTATATATTTCCTAAGCTTACTTCAAAGAAGAATATCAAATACAAGAATAGAAAACAAACAGGAGATTTTGAAATACCTTGTACAAAATGTCTAAATCTTAAGCTCTTGTTTGCTAAGGTAGATTTTTCCTACCACGTATTCTCAAGGTTCACATTTGCATGAAAATGTACCATTGGATAATTCTTAGAATGCTCTGTTTTCCATCACATCAGAAACATCACCGTTTATTTTTACCTTCTTAAGACAAAAAAAAAAATCCTTAGGCCTCTATCACATATCAGCCAAGAAAATACAAAAACTAAATTCCAGGTCTGAAAAGAATATTTTCAAGTTTTTCTTTGAAAGTTTTCAAGTTTTCTTCGTGCTTTATAAAACATTTTGCACGGGCAGCTCCTATTTTGTCATGCTCTTTTGTAATAATGGTGGCCAAGATTTAGGCTTGGAGAAACCATCATTTGACCTCAGCTATGAGTTATCCCAAAGTGCCCCCAAGAAACTTGAATAATAGCATCATTGGCTTCCAAAATCATAAAATAATATTATGAGATGAAAGAGAGTTATGTGGCTTCTTACCTTAAATCTCTGAATTCGCTCCTTTCTAGCTAAGGTCTCCAGTTTCTTTTTAATTTCAAGCTGATGGTAACGCTAAGCATACGGGAAAAATGGAGGAGAGATTCATATCAATTACAGCAACAATTTTTTAAAAGGAAAATAAGCCTACCAGCTAACCGAGTCTCAATTACCCCTCCTGTCATTGAGATGGAGAAGAATCACCTGCTTTAGTGTGCAAGTGGGAATATATATTGGTACAACCCTTTAGAAAGCCAATATCATATATCTCAGAAAGCCAATATCATATATCTCAGATATGTAAACGTGTCCCTTCCTTTTACCAATAAATTTCACTTCTAAAACTTAGGAGGAAATCTGAATTTTTTTTATATGCATAAGATACTATCTAAATGGCCCAAAGATACTATCTAAAAAGTTTTTGTTGGCTGGCCAGCATGGCTCAGTGGTTGAGCACTGACCTATGAACCAGGAATTTGAGGTTCAATTTTCCGTCAGGGCACATGCCTAGATTGCAGGCTCGATCCCCACTATGGGGTGTTCAGGTGGCAACCGATCAATGATTCTTTCACATCATTGATGTTTCTATCTCCCTCTACTTCTCCCTTCCTCTCTGAAATCAATAAAAATATATTTGAATATGTATATATATATAAATAAAAAATAAAAGGGTTTTTTTTTGTTAGTAGTATCTTTCTCTTCAAAGCAAAAATTCAGAAGCACTATTAACCTTGAAGAGAATGGTTAAGTTTTTGGCACATCCATGTAATGGAATAGAATATAATCATTAAAATAAAGTTATAAATATTTTTTTCCAAAAAAGGAAAATACATGTAATACACAAAGAAAGGAGGATACAGAATTGCACAGAAATGCAATTTAATTTATCAAGTTCATATTATGTGCCTGACCCCATGCTGGGGGTGCATTTTGTGTACATCATCTCTTCCTGCTCTAATTGCTAAATTGTCTTATTTTACAAAAGAAGAAACTGAGGTGGAGGATCATGAATTTTTCCTCAAATCACACAGTGTTTGAATTTTTGGTTGTTGTTGGGTTTTTGTTTTGTTTTGTTATTGTTTTTTATTTTTCACAAAACCATGGTCTTCTCAAAAAAATAGCATGCTTTTATTAATGTATAAATATGAATAGAGACTAAAAGAAAAGGTGAATATGTAAACAGCACTTATCTCTGAGAGGAGGCATTAATGTGGTTATTTTCCTTTTTCAGACTTTCTTATGCTTTCCAATTTTGCTATAATATATTAGTCATGTAATCTGCATATAATTTGGGTTGAAATTACTAAGACACATCTGAGAGCATTGTGAAGTGTTTTTCCTCTGTTCTTGAGCCCCTCCAGCTGCCCTGAGACTCTGCAGACGCAGTCATTCCCTACCTCAGCATCACACTTCCCTTTTCTGTCTCCCCCTTTCCTGTTCTCTCTCCCACTTCTCACCAAACTTGATTAGATTCTATATCAACCCCTTTCCATCTTCCATTTATTCCCAACTCACCAAAGTCTCCCACTCCCACCACCCCTCATCACCACCACCCCTGGACCTGCTTTCACCAAGGCCACCACTGTCTTTGTCCTCTGGGTCAAAACCTAATTTCTTGTGTCCCAGTTCCCATCTTACATAACCATTCTGCCACTTGTGAGAATCTCCTGGCTCAGGCATGTTTTTTCACCACTGGAAGGTTCTTTTCCAGCCTATGTTGTTGTTGTTCTTGATCTCCTGCAATGCACACCCCCCGCCAAGCTAGAAACCGCAGAATTTCTCTGGGCTCCTTCTTCACCCCTCCTCACTCAGCCAGTGCCAGTCTTCCTCCCTCTCCCCTGTCTCTGCAGACAGCTGCATCTCCCCAGTGTTTCAGCTACTGCTGTTAGCTCACACCCTTTGGCAACAGCTTCCTAATTGACCTCCCACCTCCAATCTTTTCCAGCTCATTAATCCATCTCCCACATTTTCAGCAACATCATCTTTCTAAAACAGCTCTGCTCATTTGTTTCAGTCTCCTGCTAAAAAATGTTTCATCGCCTCATCACCTATACTCCAAACCTAGTTCGGAATTGAAGGCTCTCCAGAAACTGGGCCCCAACTTATTGGAGAGTGTCTCTTCCTGCCACTCGTTCAACCAACCCACTGTGCTGTCTGTCTGGCCTCAGTGAGCTTTCCTTCCCATCCGCAACGTCCTTTCATATCTCTGTAATCTCACTCTCTGTAATGCCTTTTTCCTGGTTTCATGTGAGGTCTCGTTGTTTTCAAGGTCCATTTCAAATAGCAGGACCTCTGTGCAGCTTCCTCTGACTCTCACAGAAGGAAGCCACCAATCCCTACTTTTCTGAGCTCAGTCTGTCCATTCCTTTCTTCTAGCATTTGATCACTTTCTACAGTGTTTTTTTTTTTAAATTATATCTTGCAGCTATACATCACAGAGCCTCATAATGATACATAGGTGAGCCTGATACATAGTAATGTTTGTTGCATGAATGAATATTAATGGCCCTAATTAGCAACAGCATCAGCCTAAACTAAATGTGGCAATTTAGACAAAAATAGTCTATTTGTTAATTTATATATTATATTTTGTAATTATATATTATATATTACATTTTTACCATTTATTTAAGATATTTGTTCCAAACTTTAAGAATACACAAAGATGCTTAAATAATAGCATATTTACCAGTTATAATGTGCCAGTTATATGAAAGTTTGAAAAACCTCCAGGATCAAGGCTAATATAGAACTCCGTGCCTACTAATTAAGTTTGAAACTAGGTATAGATTGATTTTACACCGTACTATTTTTTTAAGCATTAGTTATAGAATTGTAACTAATACTTTCATAAGCTAGTGGATTTAGGGGTCATAAAGAGTGATTCTATGTAATTCATGCACATGATATAAGCACAAAATGAGTTCCTAAATTAACAGATCACATACATCTTAACTAAACACAACACTTGCTCAATATAATGGTAGCATCATTTTCAGTGGCACTAAACTTAGTAGTGGTTTACTGATGATTCTACAGTTGTTCATGAATGTTTACTGCACCCACAGGTCAATGGTTTTATGAGCCAGGTTTTCTGATTTATTGCTCTATGTTCAAGCCAAGAAGTGACATGCTTTTTCACAGAGATTAAAATGGTACTGATGCTTGAAACTACAAATTTCATGGTGCAAGGCTAAAATAATTTATCAAGTTAGCTAGATATCCTACTAAAAATGCCATGTCAGATTAAAAAGAAATGTTGTTGATTATAAGTCCATGCTGACCAATGTGGCCTAAAGTAGGAGGGACAGCAGATGTTTCAATGCCTATTCCTTGAAATTTAGCATACGGCTGAGCTTCGGAGCCTTAAAAGAATAACAAATCTGAAATAATTCATGGCAGTGGAATTACTGATATTTAAACAGATGTCACTTTTTTTTAGCAAATGGAAATTGAGGTACAGATGGTGAGGGCGGTTTTGTTTTAGAGTAGCCATTATGGATTAGAAATCTACATTTGTTAAATTAAATATCACAAAGTATATAATGGTGTCCATATTTTCTCACACTGAAATGGAGAAAAGCTTACTTTAGTCTGTTGGCTCCTTGCTACCTAGAGAGATAGAGAGCATTTCTCAGGTCACCTTATTCCATTCTTTTTTAATCAAATACAAGAAGAATGTCTCTGCCTTGGGATACAGAATTACTATTAATTATCATATTAGAAAATATCAGTTATAAAGGAAAGAGTAAAATCTTGTACCTCCATATCAAGGACCTTATGGAAAATAGCCTGGGCTAAGCACTCCCGGATATATTTTTGGTGATCCCTCTTCATGATATTTAGTTTGTATTCTTTTTCAGAAAGTATTCTTCCATTTCTTGTGATCTGTCATGAATAAATAAGACACACATAGAACTACAAAGCAGAAAATGTACTGTTAGTCACCAAACAGGGAGAGTTAGAGAGGCAATGTTTCCTAAGCCTAAAGGAGTATACTACTGTGGTTGATAAACTTTCACTTTTAATAAATATTTCATAAGGCAAAAAAAGAGAAAGGCAGTCCTATATACCCACCACCATGAAAACACACACAGATGGTGCACTTGTTGTTTAAAGCAAGGTTTTCATTAGAGTAGCAATTTTCCCTTGATGGAACCCAGGTGTTCTTTTCATTTCTTTTTTTGCAAGCATTGGGGAGGAAGTGCCGGGTGCTACCATGATACAATGAATAGGAGCAGTGATCACAGGACTGATGATCTCATAGGAAATTTACTTTGAAAGGCAGAACAGGTAAGCTACAGAGGCTCTCATCACTTTGTTTTTAAAATAATTGGCTTCATTACTTTGTCTTCACTCTGCTTTTTCGTCTTCCACTCTCCAGCCCAGAATGTAATAGAATTTGTTGTGGTTTCGATTTTTTTAGATTATGTAGTGCTGCAGATATAAAGTTATTCCAGGTTGGTGTCTATTGGCACCATTGCAAGTCCCAGGAATGGTAGCTTCTGTTTTTCATTTACAGTGACCCTTGAGTAACATGGGGTTTAGAGGGTACCCACCCTCACACAGTCAAAAATCTGCATGTAACTTTTGAATCCTCAAAAATGTAATTGTCCTTCAGTATCTATGGGGAATTGGTTCCAGAAACCCTGATAATACCAAAATCCAGGGATGCTCAAGTTCCCTATGTAAAATGGGGTATATGAATGCATACAGTCAGCTTTCAGCATCCAAAGATCAAAAATAATACAGGTATTTATTTTAAAAAATCCACATGTAAGTGGACGCAGGCAGTTCAAACCTGTGTTGTGTGTTATTCAAGGGTCAACTATTCTTTTCTTTTAATCCTTCCTATGGCAACTTTTTTTTTGTATTTTTCTGTATGTTCTCTAAACAAAGAGTGTTATTTTTTTCTGGATTGTTCATCTTCTTCCTTTCCACTTGATTAAGCCTATTCCTCTTTTCAGGTCTAATGTGCACCCACATGTTTCTCAATTTTGATAACTGTAGTTTTTTTTTTAGCACTGTTGTTGTAACATATTGAAGTGTTGTGATTAAGTTGTGCTACAAGCAATTGACTACTGATAATCTTTTTTTTTTTTTTTTTTTTTTTTTTTTTTTGACGCGGGCCCACACCCAGGCTACAGAATCCGGCTCCGGCCCGCCGAGTGCTGCCAGCACCGCCGCCGCCACCGATGCCATCGATAATCTTTTTTATGAATGCATTTTCCAATGAAAGAAAGGGGTGTGGCTATAGGAAGTACGCTTGAGATTACAATTCAGTCACAGTCTTTAAAATGTGCTGTCCATGGGATATCATGTCATGTGCTCCAATTGGAAAAATAGATTGAGAATGTGCTGCATTGCCTCTTCCCCTGCAGTTAACATGTGTCATTGTTATCTCTCCCCTGGGAGTCCTCTGATCTCTCTAACTAGATTGGAAGTTCCTACAGGGCAAATGCTCTTAAACTTGAACCTGCTTCAGATCACATAGAAGACAATTGAAAAACAGATTAGAAATGTTGATGGGGATTACATTTAATCTGTATATTGCTTTGGGTAATGTGGCCATTTTAATTTGGTACAGCCACAGTGGAAAATAGTATGGAAGTTACTCAAAAATTAAGAATGGTGTTACCATATCAGCAATCCCTTTTCTGGGTATCTTCCTGAAACATTTGAAAACATGTATTCGCAAAGATACATGCACCCCTATGGTTCATTGCAGCATTATTCACCATGGCTAAGACATGGAAACAACCGAAGTGTCCTTCAACAGATAATTGGTATAGAGAAGATGTGGTACATATATACAATGGAATACTTCTCAGTCATAAGAAAAGATGAAATATTGCCATTTGTGACAACCTGGATGGATCTTGAGAATGTTATGCTAAGTGAAATAAGTCAAATGGAAAAAATTCAAGAACCATATGATTTCACTCATATGTGGCATATAAAACTGAAAGCAACAAACAAACAAACAAACAAGAAAATCAAACAAAAGCTCATAGACACACAACAGTATGGTAGTTACCAGAAGGAAAGTGGGGTGAGGGGAGATAGAAGAGGGTAAATAAATGGTGATAGAAGGAGGCTTGACTTTGGTGGTGAATGCACAATTCACATGATGTATTATAGAATTGTACACTTGAAACCTACTTAACTTTATTAACCAATGTCACCCGCAATAAATTTAATTTTTAAAAAACTAATTGATTGGCCTCACCCCATTAACTTCTGACTCAATTGGTCTGGGGTGGGGCTCTAAAATTTGCATTTTCTATCAAGTTCCCAGCTGATTGCTGATTCCAGGACTATATTTGAAAGACTACTCTAGAGAAAGAGCTGGATCTTCCTTACTTGAGTTGCCATGCACATAACCAATGTTCAATTAAGTGCTTGTTAATGATGTTGATAAGTAAATACCAAGTCCTTCCTATTTACACACGAAGCTCACATATTGTTATCCAAAGAAGTAATGTTACTAGTAACCACAATAATTACAGCCATTTATTACACATCTCTTCTTGCCACAACAATCCTGAGGGTATCATCATCTTTATTTTACAATTGAAAAAGCTGGAGCTGACAAAGCTAAGTGATTTGCTCAAGTCTATGTCTTGTAAACGACAGCCAACTTCCAGCCAGACCTGTCTGATAACAAAGCCACGGGAGGCAAAAAGCAAGCTCTCTGGGACGTACCAGCCAGAGTGCCAAGCACATAAACAATTAGAACCGCAATGCATGTCCTTTCAATACCATAGCAACAATAGTTAAGGAAAACCACTGTGTTTTAAGAAGGTAAACTGCACAACTCTTCAGTCCTACTTTCTATACCCACACCCATTCCTTCCTATGGAAAGCTATCACACTTTTTAATGGCTTTACATTACATTTAGAGAAATAGGATTTTTTTTTTGGAAATGATAGTTTTGGAGCTAGCAAAATACATTAATGTATCCATAAACCACCCTAGAAAATGAAACTGTTTTTAAAAATTCAAAGAGAAGTTTGAGCTGTTTGTGTCTTCCACAGCAGATTCTGTGATGGTTGAAAACAATGCACTTTTTCCCAAAGACAGTCAAGTCCTCTCTACCCTTCATCCTTAATAGTTCTTGGCCCATAGACTGTGTTCAATAAATGTGCTGAATAAATGAATGAATAGACAAAGTGAAATATGCTGTTGAAAACTCGGGGGTTTTCCTCAGTGATTTACAAGTTGCCTTAGCAGTCGTTGTGACCTCCTTTCCTATCTTTTAAAAAACAACCTCAACAAGTTAAATCAGAGCTTTGCAAAGGAAGCAATTTTTCTGAAATGGGGGTCAGGGGAGATGTCCCTAATTAGTTCAAAGAGAAAACCAGGAAAGGGAGAGAATTACTGGACTTAATGAAACAAAAGGGCGGGTAGAGCGTAAACCAAAGCTTACCAGCCCTGATCTTAAGAGATGCCGCCTTATCCTTGTATTGTTAAAATATCCAGTCAGGTGTTTGTCGGTAAGACTATTATACGCGGCAAGTAACCTGAAACAGAAAAAATGAAACCATTAAGGTTTTACGAAATGCTGCTTGATAACCAAGGCAATTCTTGACTTTCTCATTCCCAAACTGTGCATAATCTTAGCCAGCCAGCCAGTCACGTGTGCATGTAATAAACAGGTACGATTGAGCACCTACTATTTTCTAGGTTTTATGACAAGAACTGGGAGACAGTCCTGATGTTTATCCTGAAGACAAGTATGAAAATCAGACATGGACAATTAGATTGGTGTAAAGAAATCAAACAATAGAAATAGTCACGGGGACACGGAGCACCACCTCCAGTTGTCAGGGATGTCCTCAAGGAGGAAGCCTGATGGAGAAGATGGGGGTCCTTCAGAGGATGCTTCATTCTCCTGTTACACCTTAAACCAGGGGTGGGCAAACTTTTTGACTCGAGGGCCACAATGGGTTCTTAAACTGGACCGGAGGGCCGGAACAAAAGCATGGATGGAGTGTTTGTGTGAACTAATATAAATTCAAAGTAAACATCATTACATAAAAGGGTACGGTCTTTTTTTTTTTTTTAGTTTTATTCATTTCAAACAGGACGTATCCGGCCCGCGGGCCGTAGTTTGCCCACGGCTGCCTTAAACCCTAACTCACACTTACCTGCACTTCCTCAACATGTTCTCTCGTGTCTTCTGGATCCAATGCACAGTCCTGCCACTGCAAAGGGCTTTCCCTCGCCTGTTGGCTGGTGGCCACCACCTGTGATGCACAAGCATCTCTTCTCCCAGGAAACGTTTCCTGACACACACACAGGGTGTGCTACCCTACCTCCTGCTCCACTCCCCTGCACCCCTGAGGTGCATTACCCATCACACAATATGTTATAGTTTATTTCTTAGTCACTTCTGCTAGATTTCAAGGCCAGGATGGTGTGCTATTCTTGGTATTCCTGTTGGAGTTATTTACTGTGTACTTAATAATGATGTGTTCAATAAATGAAGCCACAATTTTGTTTGGGACTTATTCTTACTGATATAAATTTCTATCTAAGCTTAAGCTCAGCAGTTTAAACTTAATTACCTCATATATATCCAGACAATTTCATTAATTCCAGAACCCGCCAAAAAATTATTGATCACTTTTGATTTTTAGGGTCCTCCATCTTAAGAGTTAAAAGAAGACAAACTGGTTCCTTGACTCCATGCTCTACCTCAGTAGATGGTCAATTTAAGACTGTAAGGAAAAGTTTGTAGCTATTTTTTCTTAGTTTTAACATATAGTTTATTAAATATTACTACCTGACAAAAGCACATAGGCATATATACATGCATGTATACATGTATGCAAATATGTGCATCCATACATATACATATATAAACACGAGTGCATGTATATATAGAGACCAAGACAGAGAGAGATAGGCAGAGAAAGAGAGAACACAAGCCTAAATACAGCCCTAACATAAAGCTGTCTTTAAAAAATACATATTCTATTACCTGTAACAAAGATTTACAATTTGTACATTTTACAAGCAACTGATCCTTAACTTATTCCAATACCAGAACAGGGACTCATAGAGAGAGTCAAGTAGATGTCATTAGCAACCCTTTTATTTAGCTGTTTGCACTGCCTTAATTACGTGGAGATGGCATTGTGACCTTTTCCTATCTCTTTTCTCTTTAGCGCTCATCTCGGCAAAGTTCCGTACTGTCAAATGGTAAGGAAATTTTAACTTTGTGCACAAAAGAGACTGAAAGGCAGTGACAAAGCCCAGAAGCCAAGGTGCCACGTGAGGGTTGCAGACAGATGAACCAGTGTGGAAACCATTATTTCACTGGGTTTATGTAAAAAGACAACCCAAGGGCTCCAGTAATGCATATACAAAACGAGCGCCGATAATGCTTTGAAACCATCTTTTAAATGAACTGTCTTGGTCTCCTATAGTTCATCAAAGGTTTCCTGTCTCCAAAAGGTCAGCATCGTATCCCTTACCCTTTCTGAATCTCAGAATATCTCTTCAGCAACTCATTTCAGAAAGGTGAGCAGGTGTCTCTCAGTCCTAACAATCATGATTCCACAGGTCACAGATTCTTCAGATAAATCATTAGACTGATATCACATACAGCCTTTTGTCTGCTTTCTCAGCTCCAGGTGTGTTGTTGTTGTCTTTAAATAAATGGTTTTGGAGTAGCTGTGAGTGCTAAAACCCTGATTAAATGAAGTAGGGTCAAAAAGATGGGATAACATGGACCTCAATTTCCCTACTGACTGAGAAAATATGCCCTTCTTTTAATCCACCCTTTGTAACTCATTAAAATATTTAGGTGCTAATAAAAGTGCTTAGCCATCTTTGGCACCCACCTCATTTCAATTCTACTCTCTCAGGCTTTTACTAAATGAACATGTATGCATAATGCCCCTCCACTCTTACAGGTCAAATGGATCCAGTTCAATTGAAACCTTTGCACACACCTGTTTTCATACCTTTCCCTATTTAGGAACAATTAAGGGTTCAGGTCGGGATGCCATTTGCAAAGCAACTCTTTCCATGACTATTAACACATGATTTGAGGAATAACTAACTGGATCTACCCAGGCATCATTCCTTTATCACACAATGCCTGAATTATTTTTTTTAAATATATTTCTATTGCTTTCAGAGAGAAAGGGAGTGAGAGAGAGATAGAAACATCAATGATGAGAGAGAATCATCAATTGGTTGACTCCTGCACATCTTCTACTGGGGATCGAGCCGGCAAACCCAGATTTATGGACTGACCGGGAATCAAACCATGACCTCCTGGTTCATATGTCGATGCTCAATCACTGAGCCATGCTGGCAGGGCAATGCCTGAATTATTTTTAACTGGAACTTTAAATAAATGAATTGTTTGATAAGAAGAGTAGATTATATACAGATTTAGTAAAACGGTTGTTACAGATTGTTTGTCCCTGCTCCCCCACCCCCAAATTTCTATGTTGAAATTCTAACCACAATGTGGTGGTATTAGGAGGTGGGGCCTTTGGGAAATGATTAGGTCTTGAGATCAGAGCCTCATGACTGGGATTATTGCCCTTTTCAAAGAGACCCTATAGAACCCCCTTGTTCCTTCCACCATGAGAAATGGCCATCAAGAAAAGGGCTATCTATGAACCAGGTAGTGGGTCCTCACCAGACACTGAGTCTTATGGCACCTTAACCTTGAATTTGCCAGCTGCTAGAACTGTGAGAAACAGGTTGTTTAGGCCATGCAGTCTATGGTATTCTGTCTTAGCAGCCAGGACAGACTAGGACAGTAGTCCATACAAACATTTCCACCGTGTCCATGTTAACATCATGCATGTCCTGACCATCAAACCTCCTTCAGAGGAGATGGTAGTACTTCACAGTACTGTGGTCTGTCTGACCCTTTCCAGTTGCTCCACTTCGTGTGGCTGGGCACGGGCTTGAAGCCTCCCTTGCTGTTATTCAGTTACAAGAGCTTCACTGACCCAGTCACAAACGTAGAGCTGCTTCCGCCTTTGTCCTCTGCATTCACTGCCACCGTTTGTCTTCCTCCCACCCTCCACTCTTTTCTTTGCTTTCTTGCCTCAGTGGCCCACTGAAGTACCTCGCCCTGGGCTTGGTGATTGTGCTGCTCCTTGGGCTCTCCACTTCCTCTGTAAGTCACTTTCAAATCTGTTGTCAAAGCTGGACTTCTTGGTCACACTGCCTCAGTCCTGCCATCCTCTCTTGCTCCCCTCCGTAGGATCAAGGACTGTGCTGGTTACTCAAAGGCCATGCTATTCACACCGAGTCCTACAACGTACTGGCCAGACCAGTCTAACTGGTCAATGGGATGGACAAGATTATTTACTCACCACCTCCCCACCCCCCACCCCAAACCCCCATTTGCTGGGTGGAGAATGACCCACTGTCTGGCTCAATGCCTGGAGAAAAGTCCTCCAGGAAACAGATGCACACCCACACCCTGTGGCGCCTGAGGGTTAGAGTTGTGGCTGCTGAGTCACTGGGGGTGCTGCCTTCCCAGCAGCAGCCTCTCCATACTCAGTCCTGAAAACCCTGCCCCCCACCATGTTGAATATCTAAATGGGGCTCTGAAGTAATGAAGTCGCGATTCCTATCAGACCCTCCATCTGCCCGCACAGAGAGAGCATCTATCCCATAAAAACCCCAGCGACTAGGGGAGGCACTGCAATATTACTCATCACAAACGTTTCTTGAGTACCATTTTCACGGCATGCGATGAAACACTGGGACTGCGAGATGGCACAGATCCTTCACTAAAGAGCCCCAGTCCAGTGGGGAGGTGTGCATGTGCAGACAGAGAGAGTGTGTGTGCACTTGGTTTCTTCCTGTGTTATAGGTCAATTCATTCATAAATGGTTACTGAGTGTCTGAGTGTCCCAATATCAGTCTCCATCCCACTCTGCACATCACAAACCACTTTCACACACAAACTCTTACTTGTTTTCTTCTAGGTCCCTGCAATGTGAATACCTATTACATATCTTCTACCTTCCTAAAATGGAAAAGCTCCAAAACAAGATTATTGCCTAATGTTAAGTCCATCCTAGGCAAACCTAGGGTTAAGGTGTCGTGGGCACACTAATAGAGGAATTCTGTGGCCTTCTCTCCCAGCACTGCCTGGCCCCACACTGTCTACCCTTGTGGAGAGCGAGGCCTGCAGTGGTTCAGACTCCAGCTCCAGTTTGTTAACGTAAAAAACCATTGAAACCTGTAAAGAATTTTTGTGAGTTTATTTGAGCCAAACTGTTGACATATGCCAGGAAGCAGAACCTCAATGAATTGAGATAATGCTCTGGAGAATGGCAGGTTACATCTGTATTTATACATTGCCATCAAGGGAAATAGGTGTGTTACATGAAATCCATTGGTGATAGACTAGAGAGGCGGGAGAAAGCAAATCAGGGAAACCCCTGGGATTGGATAAAAAGTAAAATGATAGACACATACTTAGGTGGGTGTAGGAACAATTAACATAACAATGAAGGAATTTGTGGTATCTCTCCTGGAGCCCAGACACATTAGGTTGTGCCCCAAGGGGTCCAGAAAAAGAAAGGAAGTTACAAGTTACCCAGACATTTCAAGAATATGTTATTATAGATGCAAAAAAGACACATAGGCTCAGTTAAGGTAAAGGTTGACCTTGTCAGTGAAGATACTGGCCTAGGATGTAACTGCCCACCATAACTGCTTTTAGTTAAAATTTAATTTCAGACCATCCTTTGTGGTTATTGAAAGATCAGACAGAGGCCAAAAACCAGGACTACAGGCTTTATTAGAGGAGAAGCACCTGCCAGGCTGTCTCGCAAGGGGAGAACAGCAGCACGTGTAGAGGCGGACACACCTTTTGAGGGGTGGAATGGGAAGGGGTGGGGGCTTAGTGTACTCAGGGCACACTGATTGGTGGTTTACTGTATAGTCCATATAGGAACAAGGGCTTAAGGTATTTGGCAGGTGTAGATTGGTGGTCCAATGTATAGTCCATATAAGGTACATGGGTTAGTCACTCAGGTATTTCCGGGCTGCAGGTTATGTCATAGTCTGCCCACCAGTTGGGGGAAGGGAGAATCTATCAGTTACTTTAGGTGTCTGAGTTTGCAAGACCACCATGCAGGCCTTCCCTGAGCTTGTCAGGTTAGCATGTGGCCCCTTTCGTCCACAAGTTCAATCCTGTCTCCACCATTTGCTGCAACTGCAATGGGAGCAAATAACCTACCCTCCCTCCACCTCAATGGTTCTACTTGCCAC